TAAAATTAATAAAACTCTTTTGGAGCCATTTTTTTCATGAATTTTAAGAGTATAACTTATTTAAAGTCGAAGAGTGATCTGTTTCTTAAAGAAACTTTCTTTGTAATGGGGATTTTAATATTAATTTGTTTAATGTTTATAAATCATACGTTGAACAATTTGCTAATATATTAGATACTTTTCTCAGCTAACTCATGAACCCAGTAGGCGACAATCACTTATTGATATTATAATGTGCTCAAATAAAGAATTTGTTAAAAGTGTAAAAGTAAGTGATAATGGTAAAATATCAGATAATTTATAAGTACCTAAACCTGAAAACTTAAGGACTTTGGGACTTTTAAAATTATAATTTAGATAGTTTTCATGAAGAATTAGAAAAAGTATCGTTCAAAAGAATTTATAATGTTGAAAATTTAAATGATAAAGTAAACATATTATTTGATTTTTTAAATCATGATTTTAGTCGAACCCTGGCTTACGATGCGGTGATTCCCCGTCTTTCCGAGAAACCTGTTAATTTATAAATTATATTCTTTGCCGCGAGCAGCGAGGCATTTTTTGTTCCGATTTCTGATTAAAGAAATCATTATTTTGCTGTTTGTTTTATCAAATAAAAATTTTACAATGCCAAAAATAAAAAATCAGTTTGGGTTTATTTGAATTTAATTAACAAGCCCAGTAATTCTGGGAACCTACATTTTACTTTTCCATACATACTAGTCCTAAAAAAACTTGTTATTGTGATAGCAACTTTTATTGAATAGAATGGAATTGACATGTTAATAAAATTTTAAAATTATATTAAAATAAGTAATTTTGAATTTTAAACATACTTATATCTTTAATTCTCTATTAGAGCAGAAAATAGTTTTAATAAAAAAAATAATAAAAAAAGAAATAAATATAAAATTTTGATATATATCAGATATTTGGATATTTATAAATATCATATTTGCCAGCCCTGCAAAGAATGGAGCAAATGGATTGGCTAAAAATGATCCAACGTCGTGCGCTTCATTGCTTTGTGATGTATCACAAATTATAAATCTAAAATGTCCCTCTATATAATTGAAAAAATATTACCTATATAGATGTGATGTTCATATAATTTAGGATTACATAATTATATTTATGAAAATATATACAGGGTGTTATGTAATTAATGTTATATATTAAAATACTGAATACTTTTTGACATAAGGAATAAAGGAAAAATATTTAAAAAAATATTTTTCCAAAGATAAAGAAAAAATATGCATTAGAAGTTTTTTATATTTCTTGTGATAAGCCACTGGTTACACACTTGGTTTATCTCTGCACTCTTGTATTCTGTGAGTACATAGATACCAACCAACAAAGTAGCTACGCGTTGCCAGATGTAAAAAATTGTAACTAAAATTTTTTCTTGCAAAAAATAAATAAAAACTCAATAAATACAAAAGTTTTATGCCCTTAAAGCTCTAATACTCTTCTGTATTTATTTACTCATCCAGCTATTAGCTTAAGCAATGATTAGAAAATTTAGTACCTATTTTAAAAAATCCATAACCACCAAATTAATTTTTTCATCAGTTTTTTTCTTTCTGTTTACTCAGATGAAATTGGGACCAGTTCACAGGTTAAACTTAAAACATTTAATTTATGTAAATAAATCCAAAAGCACTTCCTTTAGTTAAGATATTTACAATTTGAAAACATAACCTAAAATTTGAAAGAAATGCACTAGATTCTGTCATAAAAGTTGGCAGATTTTGTTTGAATTTACCTTCAGTACAAAAATGACATAACAACAACTAATAAAAACGCCAAATTGACAATTTGCATTGTTAATTTTGTCATTTTTGTAATTAAGCTAAATTTAAACAATGTTTGTCAACTTTTTTGAGAGATTTTGGAAACACTGTTGTTACCAACCATAACATAATAAATCCACCAGATTAGTCTAAAGTTCCTAGTCGATCAGTGGCGTACTTTTTGGTAGGATAAAGGTTATTATAAATTATTTTTAGACTTTGGAATTTAGAAAAAAAAGTTTCAGGTGCTTCTTTATGGACCCTAAGGAACAACCCATTTTAATATATAACATTACACGGTTAATTTTATAGACGATTTCAGAAAAAAAATATATACCTAATCATCGAAAATTGTGTTTTTGGGTTTGTCCGACTCCCAAGTAACAGGAAACATGAAAATTAAAATCCTTCATGTAGGGCATTTTAGATAGTGGCCCAAAAATATGTCAAAAGTTTGTAATTTTTTCTAAACACTAAAAATATTAAATTAAAAAAAACTTTTTTTAAGGATAATCTCGAGGATAATAGAGCGTTTAATTTTAAGTTAAAAGCGTCTCAAAAAGTTTTTTGTAGATACGATAGTTTTGTTCTAAAAAAAATCTTACTTACACTCACAGGCAAAATAATCGATCCACACAAATTTTCGATGAATTTCAATCGCAAATAACTTTTTTATTTGATTTCGGATTTAAACGAATATTAAACAATATTGTGGATAAATTAATGGAGAATCGCTTACATTTTAAAAAATTACTAAAAATAGACGAACGTTTATAATATACAGGTTTAAACAAAAAAATGTTTTTTACCATAAGTTTAAGACACTCTGTAAAGTGGCAAAACAACATTGCATTTTCCAATATTTTTTTGTTCGAAGAACTAAGGTTGCTATGGTCCACCCATAGCCTATGGAGGATGACAGTGATTGTTTTGTTGAATCATCCCATACTTGGACATTTTTTTGTAAATTAATGTGTTACTTTTGAGGTGTTTTCTTACTTTTAAAAATGGATATGTCCTCGACTGATGTTTCCAGAGCCATTGCTTTAATCCAGGATGGATGGTCTCAGTATTACCTGGATTGTACTTAGTTTTGGGTCAGTTCAATGTCCCTCAAAAACCAAAATATTTTCCCTCCTTTTCCGAACTAGCGGACTAGGCGAAAAAATTCTTTAAGAGGCCTTAACCATCGACACTGTCATTTACGGCCTTCTAGGCGAGATTTACCAGCCGGGGTAAAAATTCGGCTCCACCAAACACAGGCAATGCTGTGCAGTGGCGGGATACGTGGGAGAACTAAAAGGGGGTAAAATAACCCTGGGAAATCAGTATAAGGCGTTGGCGATGGGGCCAGTCATACGTTCGTCATATTCGTATTCAAGAATAAAATAATAAAATACTTATGACACTGTTGTCGCCCATGTGCGATATATATATTCGTCTTTAATGTATTAAAGTTTATACATATGGTTTTGGGAAACAAATACCTCAATTTGTTTAAGTATTTTGACGCAGTAGTTTCCAGTTGCTTTGGGAAATCTCTAAGTATAAGTTATGCCGAAAATATTCAACGTTTCGCAGTAGAACTACACTGAGAAAAAGAAATATTTAATATTAAGAAATCAAAACAGTTGCGATTTTTTTAAAATATATGTTAACTATTAAAAAATTTCTTAATCGTGAACAAATTATATACTAATTATTAAAACATCGTCCGGTGATTGTGTTTCAGACAAATAAAGGATAAAGTTGTCTTAGAACTGTGATATAATAACAGTTAATATACCTAAATTCGAATAAAACGTTTTAACATTTGTCAACATAATTTTAAATGCAATATGCGTTAATATATCTACATTTGCTAATACGTTATGAGCTTTTTTAATTCAACTTAACCAGTTCTTAGACCCAAATTAATATTTCTTTCGCCATATCCAACTCAACGATTTGTTAATAGTTAACGTGCCTCGTTATTAACAAATATTTCTTTCTCTCAGTGTATCTAAAGTCGGAGTACGGTACACAACAAAAATGCATGCCCTAGTTCATCATGTTCCAGAGTTCATTGAAAAATATCAACGAGCACTTGCCTTTTTTCTGAACAAGCGTCAGAATAAGTGCATCACTATTTTAACGTTTTCAAAAAATTTTAATTTAAATTCAAGGAATTTGCAATTTTTTAAAGAAAAACTGTTAAGGAGTATTTGTTATTATAATAGCCAGCACATATAATTACATGTATTTATTTGGACATTAAAACTTATTAAGTTAATTGAATATGATTAATATGTATTATTTTGTGAAGTAAAAAAAATCAGAAATTTTTTATAACAAAACTATAGCGTCTACAGAAAACTTTATAAGACGTTTTTTACTTAAAATTAAACGCTTTATTATCCTCAAAGAAAGTTTTTTTAAAATTTAAAATTTTTAGTTTTTACAAAAAATTTAAAAATTTTGACATATTTTTGGGCCACTATATAGAATGCCATACATGAAGGATTTTATTTCTCATGTTTCCTGTTACTTGGAAGTCGGATAAACCCGAAAACAATAGTTTCGATGATTATATATTTTTTTTCTGAAATCGTCTATAAAATTAACCGTGATTAATTACATAACACCCTGTATGTGACTACATGCACACATATATAAATTAAGGATTTTGTTTAAATTATTTTTTAATTTAATGTTAGCATAGCTATAGTAGTAGTATACTATGGTAGCTCTTAATTATTATGATTATTATGAAAGGTTAAGTTAATTAATTAAGTTAATTAATTAATTAAAAACGGGAGCTCACATTATTCATGTTCAACCGAACTTTGCCTTTTGTACTGTATTGTATTTTTACATATTTTGTTGCAATAAAGACATTATATTATATATTATTATTAATGACAATTAATAAAAAACTTCAAAAACATGGTTTAACATGGATAGAAGCAAAGAACATTGCAAAGGACGGACAAAATGGAAAGTATTAGTAGAAAGGATATAATAACGATGCCTTAAGCCCCAGAAATACCTTTGGACACCTGCCCTTTTCTCCCTAAGGAGTTATAGGAAAAAGAAAAATGAAAAGTATGGTCGTGATCATGGAGTTAATGTTAATGTATTTGGACTTACAATAATGGCATCCCTGATGTTCTTTTTTATATCCTCGATCTTCTGCCGCTTCTCCCTCTCGCTGAACCCGTTAACGTGCAGAATCCGCATCTGCTTGACGATGGTGGATTTTCCGGACTCGCCCGCCCCCAGCAGCAGGAGGCGGTGTGTTGCCCTGTAGACCTGCTTCTCCTTGGCCAGCTGCCTGTTTATCTGGTCGCTGATGCGCTTTTGTGTCCGAATATCGTCGGCGGCGCTGGCACCGCCGCCACCGCCACCGGCCGCTTCCCTGTTCCCGAAACAGCCCATCGCCGCCAACGGGGACCACCAGCAGTCGGCCGTCCCCTTATCTGCGGCGGCCACCGGGCCGCAATCAGGACCTGACGCCACCGTGGCTGGACCTCCTCACTCCTCACCGTTAAGAATCCCTATATAAGTGACACAAGGCGTCAGGAAATTTATATTAGTGTTATAATATTTTTTATTAAACTTCTTATTAAAAAGTATTTAATGTGAAATGATAAAAAATTACCCTAACGACCGAAACTATTCAGAAAGTAGGATATCGTCGCCTTCATGAGAAAATTGCTTAACTCCATGTAGTAAAATTTTACAGGAGGAAAGAAAAACATATTAAAGGTGTATTGGTGTATCTCCACATTACCGCCAAAAAATTGTTTAATGGAAAATTACGTATCTCCAATATGTACTTTATGTTAAAAGTAACCTTAAATTATACCTTAACTTTACACACTATACAATCTTTCATACTTACTTTTAACAAATTTCACTTCGGAAAACAAAGGTTTTACGCGTAAACAGAAAAAATAACTAGGCAATAACTTATACTTGTCAATGGCACTGATTTGTATACTGGAGTTAGGCATTATTCCCTGTACGCTCCTCCACGATTGGAGATACGTATATTTCTTTTTCTAAATTTAAAATTAACGGTTTATTTTAGGACTTCTGTAACTTGCATATAAATTAGTTACAGTTTTATCTAACAGATGCCACTAAAATACCATTTTAATGAAAATGTGGAGTTACGTGATTTTCTCCTGAAGGCGACGATATCTTAATTTTTAATATACAATTTCTTTATAGTTAATTGATAATTTATTAATGAAAACCGATTTTTGGTCGTCAGAGCGATTTTCTTATAATATTAAATTTGTACCTACTCTAAGAATAGTACTCTCCTCCACACGAAAAAATTGAATAATGAATGCAGCCTTAATAAAATAGAGGTTAGTGCCTACGCTCCACACCGAAAGCAGCCTTTATAATTGAGGTTATGTATCTGTCGTCTTATTTTCTATAAATAGCGGTTTTCGCGGTGTTATGTATTTTAGTGTAGGTGTAAAGATTCGAATTTGGGACATAAAAACCCTCGTAAAAACCTAACATGTTTATAAACATAAAAATATATGGGTCATTTTAACAAATACATTTTTTGAGGTGTGAACCCCGCAAATGTTTAAAAAAGTTATTCTCTACATCAAAATAATGAGTCCCTGGAGATTTAAGCTCTTAAAGTTAAGTACTTTCGTACATAACTAGTACTTAACGTTAAATTTTTTGGATGTTTATAATGTTTTATAAAATTACAAACAGTACAATTATTTTTTTAATTCTTAGCTTTTAAATTAAAATATTCATTCTTTATTATAAAGTAACAGAAGACCCTCAAATTCAATTATCTAGAGTAAAAAAATGCAATTTCTATTTTAAATTTTTTTTTTTCTAAAAGCTGAGAATTTTTTACATAAAATATGTCATTTTCAGGATGGGATTGTTTTTTGTTTGAATACAATTAAATAATAAAGTAATTGTACGTCATTTTTTTCATATAATTAAGGTTATGCATCTGTTAATTTAACGCCAATTTCGTCTTATTTCCTAAAATAGTACATTATAGACCAGGCAGAAATAAAATATTATTGCAGTCGATTGTGTGCGAGGCAATTAATAAGTTTTCGCCGTCGGGTTTTATATACTATTTTTTTTAAGTATTTAATTATTATTTAATTTAGTTTCTTAACATTCTGTCACATCATTTTTAGGTTGGGTTCAACTAACATGATGACATTTTAGCTTTATTTAATACAGTAATACTGTACGGAGTTTAATAATAACACTGTGCTAGTTCAAAAATCCAAAAAGCGGGGCACCAAGGGGGATTACCTAATTTGAGTGCGCTGAATCTAATGGTGTTAATCGTTTAGGTTAGCTCTTGTTTTCGAGATATTTTAGATATAAATTGTAGACCCAAGAACTAGGGATGCACCGGAATTCCGGCGGTACCACTAAATCCGGCCGATCCTGCCAGTTGGCCGGAACTACCGTTCCGGCCGGTTCTCTCCGGCCGGATCGCTTTCTCGAACACAAAACACAAAATTCTCAGAAACTTAAAACATAAATACAAAATGCAAAGAGGGATTTTCTGTAAGCAAATGAATAATGAAATGACCTGCAGCCCTGAGCCTTCGCTAATGATTAGCAGGCGTCTGGGATTTCCCGACTTTCGCGTATGTGATTCCCCGACTTTCGCGTCTGGGATGCCCCGCCTTTCGACCAGATATATTTTGTAATTGGTCAACAGTGAAGGGTGTGCGTGTTTTCTTGCCTATGATAGACCGGCGGCTGTGGTTCCCCGACTTCCTTTTAATTTTTTTATTATTGGCAGGTGGCTGTTATTCTCCTATTGAATGAGTAGAATTGTTTTAATTTTGTTAACGCTAATTAAAAATTAATATTTAAATAAACAGTAATTTCTATCTAGGTAAAATTAATAGTAATAAACACTCTGCATACTGTAGCTAGTTTAAAAAAAAGTAAAAATAAATCAGCCTCAATCTTTTTAATGTTTTACGTATAAAAATAGGCATGCACATACATTTTAAATTTAGGTCCCGATCCGGCCGGAATTCCGGCGATACGGTCCGGCCAGCGGCCGAAATTCCGGTTCCGGCCGGATCGGCAAAATACCCGATCCGGTACATCCCTACCAAGAACCACAAAAAAAAACATTATTTTTACATTTTTACAACATTTATTGAATTTAAATTTATTCAAATTTAATTTTTAATTAAAACACCCTATATATTTTTACATTTTTAAATTTTACCTAAAGTGAATAGTTTAAGGGTTATTAATTTTTTTTGGTTAAAATTTGACAAATGCGCGTCAATCAAAAATAGCCTATAACTTTTTTTTATAAGGTTTGCGAGGTTGGAATTTTTGGAATCTTAAAACATTGTTTAAAAGATTCCATGTCAATTCTTTAACATTTTTTAACAAATTACCTAAAAAAACCCAGGGCAAATTAGGCTAACTTGAAAGGTTAATAACTTTTTATTTTAAATGTAACAACCAGTACCTATGTTTTTACCTAATCAAATAGTAAATTAAAAAACTTTTCGATTGATGTTACTATTCCCTATACATATTTAACAATTTCTAAAATTTTAAATATTATTTTGTATCAAGAAACCTGTGATAGTATCTATGGTTACCACGTAATCTGTTATTGTTTAAAATTTAAAGTGAGCTCCGTTGCTCATCGATCGTTGTTTATTTAAACAGTGCGTATGAACAATCAAGATACATACAATGTTACTTTTTGCATTATAATTCTTGGAGGTAGAAGTTATCATTGATAAAAAAACATAAGAAAGGCGACTTGGCACTCAGGGCCGTATTCCAAACATTTTAGTACAAATTATGAAAACTGTATATTTTTTGAGAAAAAAAATCATAAAAAACACTTTAAAATCGACCAAATTATTTTTTTTTTCAACAGTTTCTTTTCAATATGTATCTGTCTATACATTTATAAATTCCATTCGATTTTTATCAATTTATAATCAGTAAACGGTTTTAAAATGAGAAAATAGTACATTCTGTAACAAGTTTGGAATACAGCATATTCCGCTCGAGGAAAAATTTGACGGTTTTACGAGAGTGAAATATGCTATTCCAAACGTGTTTCAGACATTATTTTCTCTACGACTACGAGAAGAATAGTAACGCTTATATAATTTTAAACAGAAAATAAACCAAGCAGTTTTTGACATTTAAGTTTTTTGTATTGTCAAACCATTTTGTGCTGTCACAATTTTATAATGTAAATTATAATAAATTTAAACAAATGGTATGCCTAAATCTTTATTATAATTAAAAATAGTTATTTACACTAACTAATAAAAAAAATAACATTGTAACAAATACAAAACTAATTTTACAAGTAATCTATGTCAACATCTATTCTTTTTCTACATTTTAGGTCTTTTTTAAAACTTTTTGAATCTGTCAAAACTTCAAAGCCGGTATAGTAGGTAACTGGTTTATCATTTTAATATCAAATTTATTATAATTTTGATTTGTATATTTGAAAAACAATAAATATAACTAATTTTTAGTGCCTAAGCCTTAATTATACAACTGCTATTATTTTTTAATTAATAAATAATACAGTAATATTTAAATATTTTTAAATTTTTTACGTTTAGTAAACAGCCAGGAGATGTCGTTACTTGTGATAAGAGTAGGAATATTCTCGCACAGTATTGCAGAAAAACATCCTTTCTATGATCAAAAATTACACTAGAATGTTACTATTCTTAAGTAGTCGTAGAGAAATAATGTTTTTTGTGATGCTTGGATCTACAATTTAAATCTAAAATATCTCGAAAAAAAGAGCTAACCTAAAAAAGCGACTAGTACTTACCATTGGATTTATAGTATTCGAATTAGGTAATCCCCCTGGGTGCCCTGCTTGTTAGAAAAAAGAAGTTTCCGATTCGAGCACAGTGTAATTTGACTTATGAATTAGTAATAATATGAAGTCTTTCTATATAGACTTGAGTCTTATAATACGAAAATTATTGTACGCTTGAAAAAAATAATATAATATACATATTTTCGTACAAACTTCGTAGTTTATGTCATAAGAACATCCATATGGATGTTCTTATGACATAAACTACGAAGTTTATAAAATATATATTTTATTATTTTTAGAAAATAAGACGAAATTGGTGTTAAACTGACAAATAAATTATTAAAAAAAAAATTACAATTAAATAATTAAATAATAATTGACAATTATTGTCATTTTTTCAAATAATTTTCTGACAATTAATTTATTATTTAACTGTAGTTAAACCATAGATGACCGAAGGTATAGATAGCCGACTCTCGTTAGAAAATCGAAACAAAGTTAATTTAACAGCGGATATCACCGCCCGTGGCGCTGCAAGCAGATCCATTCTAGATAGCGACATCTATTGTCCAAGGGCTTTACTAACAGTTTAAACCGCCTGGAATCTACAGTGCGACATCTAGTGTGTGATATCTGTACAAACTTAAATCTCCTTGAATTTTAAAATTG